TTCTACCTTAGCACGTCTTTATTCTCTCCTTGCAATTTAGTGATAAAAAGCACAGTGAATGTACCTTTTCACTTTTTGAAGTACACATAACACTCGGATTTAAATCCGAGGTTTTCGCATTTATTTATCTTAAGGACAGTATCAAGCAGATACTGATTTTTCCTAGCAGAAATGATTAAAACACCAGGTGAAGTGCTTCATCCGTTTCTCTACTAATAAAGAGAAATGGAAATTATTGAAAGAGAAATCAATAATTTTCTTTTTTTATTTAAAATAAACAAATATTATTCTGTTTATAGGTTATGTCGTCAAGATGTATTTGATAGGAATAGTAATAATAATATAATATCAACAAAGAAAAAACCATTAATTAATGAAGAAAATTCTTGGCAACATATTTTAACAAAATTTGGTTGTGAAACAAATGAAGAAAGTCCATTTGATTGTTCAAATTTAGTCATTCGACAAGAACAACAATCATCGGAAATCTATATAAATTCAATAAAAAATTTTTATCATACTGGGCATATGAAGATGATGATAATAGTCAATGGATATATGATGAATATTTATCAACAATGTTTCATCACTTAATTCGTTTAACATCATTATGTTCAAAAAAAATCATTTAATAAATAAAGAAAAATTTGATTTTTGTTATTTACATGAATATTTAATACTTTCTTTACAAGGTATTGTTGCTGGTGATATACAAGGACAACAATATGGATGGGCTGATTTACAAATTATTGATGATCAATAATAAACGATTCTGGTTTGTTTTTTTAGTCTTTTTTGTTTCTTTATAATCGTAAATCGCTACTTTTCTTTTTTTGTCGATCAATTTATTTGTATCTTTTCATTTTGTATTACGGCTTGTTTAGTGTACTTCTGTTTTTGCATTCTTTTTTATTCGGATCTTATGGATTTATTCGATTAATCAAACAAAAACATTTAATTATTTTATTTTTCTCGTCTTATTAAATTATAGTAGCATTACTTTTATTTAATAATACGTTTTCTCCTCTCATTTTTAGAAGTTGCTGATTTTTGTTTCAGATTAGGTTAAAGTAGTTAAAATGAGTACAAATACAGCTATTGCTGAAGAAGCAGCTTCAGTGTTCTCTGTCAAAAATAAATCTAATGAAGAGATTATTGATATGGTAAATTAAAATTTTTCAATGATAAAATTTTTTGAAGTTTTTTATAGTATCGTAAATATCAAACTGAACTTGATGAATTACAAAAACGTCCAGAACAGGAACTTAGTGAAGAAGATAAAAAAAGAAAAAAATTAGTAGAAGCAATCATAAAATTTCTACAGCCACATTATGGTAAAAAAAAGACTTTAGTAAAATCATATACTCTACAGAAATTTTCTTTCTAGAAAAAGCGATCAATTCTCAATAAGAATCAAAATCTAACACGTCAGAAAACAACAACAACAACAAACCAAAAGAAGATTAAATTTTAATGTTCTATTTTTTAACATAAATTGAATACAAGACATTCAACAACAAGAAAATAATACAAGATTTTATTTAGATTTTTTTGTACTTGTAACAAAAACATCATCGAATAAAAGTACGAAAAAATTTACTAAATATCTATGTACATGAGAACTCTTGTAGGAATATTCTAGATTCTTTTACTTATTCTTTATTTAATTATTTTTACGCAGCTCTCGTGCCACTTTTACATTATACAACAGATTGTTGGTTTCAATAATAACTAATTTATTCCTTATAGGATTTCTTATAAATGAAACTAGCAATACTCTTAATCGGAACGGATTAAATAATATTAGTAATGAAAAGAACATAGGAATTAGGAAAAACTATTTAATATATTTTCTGGTTTAAACAAGATAAATATCAGATAATTTCTTTTCTCTTAGACAATGAAATAGTATATCAGGCTTTCGAGTTTTAATATTATTTTTGTAATACTAAGAAAAATAATCTTTATTTTTATCTACATTTGTTGTAAATTTCAATACAAGAATTTGTCGAATGTTCACTCATTCATCCAGAAACAACTGGAAATTTATAACTTATGAAGATTATTTTGTGTACTACAAAAAGAACAATGTGAACAAATCAGAATTTATTGAAGTGCACCATATCTGTTATACTATAACCTAAAATTCCAACTACGTCATATAAGAAAATATTGTGTGCTAATGGTCAAAAACGGACGGTGAACATTTTGAAAAATTAGCATAAGAACCTACACTTGTACAAATAAGATTCAGATCTGATTGACATGCGTTTGATTGTTCATATGTACCATTTTCAAATGATTGTAATGCACAAACTAATCCATTCTAATATGTAGTAGACGTAAACATCTAAGGAGTGCCCCAGATTAAATGGCCGCTGTTTACATTTCAATTTTCATCCACTTAATATAGTGTATTAAAACAACAAAATATACCTCAAGATGCAGCGTGAAAAGTTCTGCAATTTACATAAAACCATTTTTTTCAAGCCGTACATTTTGCTTTCAAAGTGGTTCAAAATTTTGAGCGACGAAATTTTAACCGTGTGAAGACGACATTTTTTTGGCACAAGATGAATTCGTTTTTTCTTACTTCATCTTTTATCATCTAACATCTTTCATTTAAAACATAACAAAATACACCATAAGGTGCAGTGTGAAAAGCTGCACAATTTACAAATGGCAGCTAGTTCCACAATTGTATATTTTGTTTTCAAAATCGACAAAATTCTGAGCGACTAGATTTCGATGCTGCGAAAAAGTCTTTTTTCAATACATGACCAATGCATTTTTTCTTATTTACCATCTAAAATGTTTTATTTAAAAAAGAATAAAATACACCACAAAATGCAGCGTGAAAAGCTCTACAATTTACACAATAAAGCTTATGGTAATTGTTTTCCAAAAAAGCAAAATTCTGTGCGACCAATTTTCACGCAGTCGAAATTTGCTCGCTCAAATTTTGGCCATTTGAAAAATAATTACCATAAGCTTTATTATGTAAATTGTAGAGCTTTTCATGCTGCATCTTGTGGTTTTATTTTTTTAAAATACAATATATGTTATCGTCGTAAATCAAGTTCATATAACTATAAACGAATTGATGCATCATATTGATGTCTATCAGCTAATAAGGCAACATAAAATCTTATAGCACGACGATATTGTTTATTTATTTTTTTGATCTAAAATTCTTTCTTGAATAAGTAAATATTCAATATATAATCTCGTTATATTTGAGTCAGATAAAATTTTATTAAATTCTGTTAATGTTTCACAGTCATTATTATAATTATAAGCTTCAATAAATGGAATAAATGAAAATGGGTCAGCATTTTTTCATCACCAAAAAGTTGAGTTTTCATCACCAAATTTTTTAGCTGTGAAATGATCACCAAATTAAAAAACAGTGAAAAAAGTGATAACTATATGAAAAAATGCTTTCAATTACACGGGAAAAACATCCAAAAAATATATCTATGGAAAACACAAGGAATAACAGAAGCACAATGGCGGTATTAAGCACAAATCATGATACTATCTCGTCTCCAACTTTTCAATCCTTCTTACGACACACGGTGCATCTCTTCCTACTACCGTGTTCAAGTAACGACTAAATTCATCTCGTTATCTTCTACATTTTCACCCTTACCCACATCAACACTTACGATCACCACACCCGTATTCTAGAACTCCTAAACACCTTCACCTTTCTGCTATCTACTATAGGCGTGCCATTTACTAAATCAGTCATAAAAACTCTATTATACTAACTGTTTCGTAATAAATAAATTTGATGATCAAATGTATGGTTTTTTTGGTGATCATTTCGTGGCTAGACAAATTTGGGATCCAAACTCAACTTTTTGGTGATCAAAATACATTTTCCCCAATGAAAATATTTTTGGAAGATTTTTTTCTATTCTCCATTTCTATGATATTATTAAATGTTGAATAGATTTATCAAGATTAGAATTTTTTGATTGAATATTTGCATATGATGCATCAAGTAATTCTCTTGCTTCAATCCATTCTAAATATGATCAACAAATATTTCCAAAAACATTAACCAAATTATTTCTTGCTTCTAATGCAGCTCATATTATTGGATTTATTCCATTCTCACAACTATTTTTTTCCTCCATTTTTTTTTAATAATAATTGAACAACTTCAAGTGAACCACCATCAATGCCATAATGTAATGGTGTTCGACCATCTTGATCGTGGTCATTTGGATTATATCATAATTCATCAAGAAAATATTTCACTATATGTGCACGTTTTTGATAAGTACTTAACTAAAATTTGTATAATGGGAGCTATATCAAGATAACTTTCATTTTTTCTTTACTTTCTTTATTGACATGTAAACAAAATATTACAATTAGATAAAGAAGAAACTGGATTTATAACAAAGGAAAATACAGGTAGAAGTTTTCTGGATATGTCATTGGTTCTGAATCAAAGACAATATGTTGAACTTTAGAACAATGAGAACGAGCAGCATCGTGTGTAAAATATTCTGTTACGATCATCAAGTATTTATATTTGACATATAATGTGTTAAGACAAGGTAAATGTGTGTTGAAATCGAAAAGAAATTGTTTGTAATAGTCGATATAAGACCAAGAGAGACTGAGTATCGTAAGATGAGAAAACTGAATAATCGAAGATATTTGTTCATGTTCATTTTGTTGATTTGCTAATTTCTTCTTTTGTGCACTGATATTATATATTGACAATTTATTCAGTAATGGAAAAGCTTGAGAGATTCGAGCGAAGAAATCATGTTCAAATGGATGAGCGTAATTTTGCAAACATAGATCGCGAACAGTAAGGAATAAACCACCAGGAAATTTACTAGAACGAATTTCCATAGAGTCCATAGAGAATGGAATCGAATAAATATGACATTCAGCTTTGCTAAGTACATTATAGTCAACATAACAGTTAACATTATATCCTCTTTGAATCAAGCCACTTTTCGCATCATCAGGCACCGGTAAATGTTCTTCGTCCATTGTGACATCTTCGGTGATGATGTTAAAGATAAATGTATGTAAATATGACATTTTACTAAGAATATCATTAACCAGATGAGTGCCATCAATGAATGAAGTTCGATTACGAACAATAAGGGATAATGTAAGTTTTTCTAATTGTGACATTTGACGAAGTAATGGTACAATTTGATTATCATACTCAATTGTTGTGGAGCATGAAATCAATGAAAAATATTTCAGATTAAATAGAATTCTCTAAAAAAAATTAACATAAATATTAACCGATGTCAAATAAATTAATTACTTAAATAAGAGTAGATCTAATCACTAGATAAATAAATACTTAAGATCTTAGTCATACTCTCTCTCTCATCCATCAATTATCAAAGTGATATTTTATCAAATATATTAATACATGCCGTTGAATGGCAGAATCTTCTCATTTAATAATGTTTCTCTCAGATGCTTTCATAGAAAACTGTTAATAGTGAAAAACGATTTTGATATCTAAAATCATTTATCATTAAAGTTTCAGTTTTTAATTATTAGAGAAATATTTTCTTATCATTCAATGGTTCACTTCTTTATTTGAGAAGTTTTTTCAATATCTATTATCGCGATAGAATGTCAAGCTTTCAATATTATTGACACTGAGATAATCTTTTTTTCGTCGAAAATCAATTTTAAAACTTCGAAAAATAGAAAGATAAAATCAAAATAATGTACTTTCATATAAATATTTATCAAATTATTTTCTCTATGAAACTATTTTATCCATATATAAACAAACACTGTGAAATTAACTGAAGACGATATTAGTCAAGATCTGACAAACCTACTCTAAAAAGTCTTACAATAGAATATTTCCGTTAGTTTAATGTATTTTTTTTTAATGTTTATTTTTTCCTGTCTAATAAAGTTAAATTCATTCAAAATTTCTAGTTACCGATTATACATTAAATCCAAGACTTCTAGAAGACAAAATCAATATTCGATCATCTAAAACTATCGTTCTCATCTTTTCTTCAATCACACATTATCTTGAATAATGTTTCTTATATCGTTTAATATCGCTATATAAAATTATTCTTTTAATATTTATTGATATTTTTAAGTATTCGAATTCTTCTCATGCAAGCAAGGGCGTAAGTCAGGTGCCAGAGCAGGAGGAGCGTAACCCTAGTTTTTCCTATTCATTTTCGGAAGCAGGGGACGTTACGCCACACACGCCCCCATTTATGCTCCTCTATGCGAGTAATTTATCATTCTATCAAAAGTTCACATCAAAGTAATTCCCTGTTATTTAAAATATTTTACCGTATTCTTATTCATAATCTTGGATGTGTTATTAATTGTACCAACTTTGACAATAAATGTATGTAATTGGCTAAGACGCCCGTCCAGTAAACAAAGACAATCATCAAAACCGTCCACTATGACATTCAAATAAACAATATTCAATGAATAACATGTTGTAGATGGTAAATCAACATATGCTTTTGGTAAATACCGGCAACTGTTTTTTAAATTGAAATGGAGATAAGTCAATTTTGTAAACATTATAAAGATAGTAGTGAAAACATTTGTAGATAATTTCGATATATGTTCACCTGTACTGTCATCATGAATTGTAACGGTAAGATGTGAAATTTGATGTTGGAAGGTACCAATAAATGATGACTTGCCTAAATATTCGCAATAAATTAATTGACTTCGTTTTATGTTCGAAAGAATGAGACAAAAGATGACAACATACCATTGAAAATACGAGATGCCATTTCAAATTGAAGATTAACAAGAGTAAGTTTACGAAGTTTAGGATAATTTCCAATGCAAAGAACACGATCTATTAATAATGGATCAAGAATAAGACATTGAATATTTTGTTGAATTCGAGGTATGATATAAAAACAAAATCGATTGAGTATTAACTTGTTTCTTGAGTCATTGTGTTCATTTGATGATATTGTTACTAAATCAAGAGATCGTGTAAAAGTAATATCTCGAGCCAATCTATCGAGTTTTCGATTGACCCCTATGAGTGAATATAATATATCAATATTACTGAGTTTGTTCATAATGATAAACAGTATCTCGTCGCACAGAGAAAGGATATTAACAGTTGAATGGTTCATGTTCAATTACAAATGACAAATATTCCGAATAGAATCGTTTTTATATGTCTTTGTTTCTTTTATATCATATCTGACGTCGTCAACGACGGCTACATTGAATAGCTCGATAATGGATATTGTGACCGTTGATCAGTCAAGTTTGTTCATGAATGAATAATGCTGTTTCGTCAAGAATAGAATTATCAATAAGAAATGAGCCTATCCAATTTTTTTTTCAATATGTGTTATACTCTTTATGCTCATCTGTAGACGATTGCGATAAAGACAGAGACCTTCTGGACAAACTTTTTCGTGTCCCGAATCCCATTTGTCTCGCCTCGAATTTTTTTTGGAATAGTCTCGAAAAATCTCGTTTGTCCCGTTAGCTGAAAAAAAATAATAAAGATATAATTTTCTTAAAGAACAATACATATTTTTTATATTATCAGTAGAAACAATTTATTCATATCAATAGTTTTGAGATGAATTTGTTGTTTTTCGACCATCACTACTGATTATGCAATACTAATCATGAGAAACGTTCAGATACAGATAAAAATTTAAGGTTTACTATTTATCGCACGAAATATTCGAAGTTCAAATGTTAAAGAAAATTTATCTGGTCGTAGTTGAAGTTTAGGAAAAGAAAAAAGAGGTTAAATTGAAGTATAGCTGCAGTTTGAGTAGATTCTTGCTCTTGTTCATAGACTGATTGGTGCTCACAGCACGGTAACTAAATGAGACGATATGTCCTAACCGCAATAGAAGTAAGAGAACTGATGAATAGATTGCTAATAGATAGATTTTTAGGTATCTTGCAGTGTGTTTTTAGTTTACACTGTTTATTTAAATATTTAAACGTTTACTGAAAATAGAAAATTTTCAGCCTACAACGGATTTCTATCTACAAGTTCAAAATTTTGCGACAACATTTTTTTAATTGTCTCGAATCAAATCGCGATTGTTCTGTCCCGAAATTTTTTCATGACAGTACCGTTTGTCCAGCGGGACGGGACAAACAGAGTTTTTCGGGATTCGGAACTGCCCCAGAGTTCTCATTTCATATGACTAAAAACTGATTCACAACAAAAAATAATCTATGTCTTTGGGTTATTATAATCATTGGACATAACGATAGATTTTTTTTCTCTCTATGAAGCCTCTTGTTGGGTCAAGGTATCGATAATCACCAACAAAAGAAATGAACAACAAGAAAAATTAGAAGAAAATCGTAAGTACCAGTTTCTGAATCCTGAAGATTTCCTATCAAGAGAAAAGTAAGAAAACCAAGAGTGCCATATGGTCAAATCAGGAGATTTGGTAAGCCTATACACTATATGATTTTGTTAATTTCATGACGATAATACTGATCTGAAGAAAATTGTTTTCGATCTATAACTACGAAAGAGAATAAATATACTAGTAGAACAACATCCTATTCTTCTTGCATCTAATTATGTATAATCGACAGAATAAAAACAAACATATTAATCCTTTCTTTTTCATATCTAAAGTTGAAGGTTTGAAACTGAAATTCGTCCAGCATTATGATCATAATGGTCTCTAATATGCGCACGAAAAATTTGAATCGCATCGGTTAAGTGCTAATATAACGTTGTCTACAGCATAATCAGCATAATTTTAGCATAGGTTATAATACAGTATATTTGTCTGATGAGGGAAGGTCCCCAGGTGTTACGCTCCGTTTTGAATCGGAGATATGCCATTTTGTAGAACTCAGTGAGTACAGTACCTGGTATAAGAGGTTCGTCCCCATGGTGAACTTTTCAGGAACAACAAGGTCCCGTATCTTCTAAAAAATCATCATAAGACTTTTAACTCAAGACTTGGATTCTAAGAATATTTTGATTGGATAAGTCATACTCGCCTATTTATATTCATACGTTCCGCTCAAACATGAAGTTTAAACGCAGCTTTACTTTTAATATTTTGAATATCATCAATTATATAAGTATAGAATATTCAACTAATACGACTAAAATGATTTTAAAGACTATTTGAGAACACTTTTCATATTAACCTTGAAAGAATCAAATATTAAAGAAGTTGAAAGCACCATTCTTAGTCCATGATCAGTCTAAATGATGCGCCAATATGTGACACAAAAGGTTGCTCACATTTACTCGGTTTATTAGAAAAGAAAAATATAACGTTCTACCACTTATGATCTGTAAGCTCAACAAATTCATAGATCATTTTATCTGCTACCTCATCATTTTACATGTATGTTCTCTTTCCTTGCTGTCATTATACATGACGTCATAATCTCTCTTTTTTCTGTTCTTTCAACAAATTGTTTGTTGAGAACATTCAAGTATGTTCCCATTCTTACTCTAACTACTATTCTAGTGTATATATATACGCCTTTGTTTTTATTTTTGTCGTTCTATCCTGATTCCATTCTGTTCTATTATATTGTATTTGGTTGTTCAGTTAAATTTAGTTGCTGTTCGATCATCGTTAATTTTTGTCATTAAGTTATTGTTTTTGTCTCTTCATCGTCTGGTGTTGTGTTACGATTTCAGAATAAGAAATTTGATTTTTTTTTCTTCTAAATCTTGTTGAGAATCAATTGACGTTGTTGACAAATTCTCATTTTGTTTATTATCATTTGAATTAATTTGTCTAAAGAAATTTTTTTAAAAATTTCTTTCATTTAAATCTAAATAAATAATAAAATGACTTATTATAATTATTATCAATTGGTAAAATCATTCGTTTTAATCTATCAATTGAATAAATATGAATTGATGGAAAGAGATAGATAAGATCGTCTTGTTAATAACTAGATTTATAATAGATATATTAACTATACAATAGAAATAAAAACAAACGTTCTTCATTAAGATAATTTATTCATTTATTTTATTTTGTTAAATTATCAAAAGATTTTTGTTTATTTTAAAAATTTATCTTATTATGATATTGAGATTGACCAATTAGTATTTTCCTTAATTAGTTCTTTCTTCATTTTATACTTCTAATTTTCTATTTATTGGAATTAAATATTTACCATCATCAACAAATGTTTTTCAAACCCTAAAAAAACAAAATTTTTCGTTTTTTTTTTTTTTTGTTTTTCATTAAATTTAATCGAAAGTCTGAAAACTAATATTGATATATAAAAAATTTTGTTAAGATAAAAGAGAATATTATTTGAAAATATATTCGGAGTAAATCGAAAAAATTCTTAAATAGATTTGTTTTGATAAATCGATTTTAAAAATATATATCTTTTATTCTTATTCTTAAGAGAGGGTCCATAAGGGCATCGAGTATACTAGGCACTCGATAAAATTTTTTTTTTCGGTTTTTTTTGCTCATTCGAAACTTCAATGTCTAAAACTACGAACCCTAAAATTTTAGGTTCTAATACCCTTTCTATGAAAAGTTAGTCAATAC